AAGAAAGAATGTGGATAGTGTGGGGTCATGGTGCCAAGAGGGAGGGGATGTGGCTTGGGAAAACGAATGCTAGCCTTTGGAAGGATGTGGAGTTGGGGATGTGAGACAGCCTGTTTTCTTGTTTGTGTGTTTGTTTCCCAGTGCAAGGCTCACGTCCTGGCAAAAACGTGCAGCTGACAGAAAATGAGATCAGGGGTTTGTGCCTGAAGTCCCGGGAGATCTTCTTGAGCCAGCCCATTCTATTAGAGCTGGAAGCGCCGCTCAAGATATGTGGTAAGTGGGTTTCTCCTCCATGATGAAAGAGGGCTCGGCTGATCTCCGTACTCAAAAAAGGGAGGGGTCTGTTATGAGGTCTTGAGCATGTCAGTGTTCTTCTTCTTGTTCCTCCCTAGGTGACATCCACGGGCAGTACTATGACCTGCTGCGACTCTTTGAATATGGGGGCTTCCCCCCAGAGAGCAACTACCTCTTCCTGGGGGACTACGTGGATCGGGGGAAGCAGTCGCTGGAGACCATCTGCCTCTTGCTGGCCTACAAAATTAAATATCCTGAGAACTTTTTCTTGTTGCGTGGGAACCATGAGTGCGCAAGCATCAACCGCATCTATGGCTTTTATGATGAATGTGAGCACAAAACTCCTAGTTTTAGGGCAGGCAAGCAAGCGTGGGGTGGACATGAGGGACAGAGCTTTTCTCTCGGGAGACGTGGCGGTTTTGGGCTGGAAAAGGCCTTGTGATCAGCTGCATCAGTCCTTTTCTGACTCTGCTTCTCTCTTTGGCCTCACCCCTTTCAGGAACTCATTGGCTACTAAATCCATTTCCTTCCTTCCTGATTCTCTCTGGTTTTGCTGCTTGCAGGTAAGCGGCGCTATAACATCAAACTGTGGAAAACCTTCACTGACTGCTTCAATTGCCTCCCTATTGCTGCCATCGTTGATGAAAAGATCTTCTGCTGCCATGGAGGTGACCTAGCCTATGACAAAGATTGAATCAGAAGAAAGATGTGCAGAGCTGCTCCTGCTGCTGGGCCACTAGGCACCGTACATAAGAGAACACAAGAGAGAAGCCAGTGTTGGATCAGGCCAGTGGCCCATCCAGTCCAACACACAGGGGCCAAGAATACCAGGGGCCCTTAGGAGGTCTAGCAGTGGGGCCAGGACACTCGGAGCCCTCCCACTGTTGCCCCCCCCAGGCACCAAGAAGACCGAGCATCCCTTGCCCCAGACTGAGAGTTCCTGTTTATACCTTGTGGCTAATAGCCACCGATGGACCTCTGCTCCATATCTAATTCCCCCTTGAAGCTGTCCATGCTTGTAGCTGCCACCACCTCCTGTGGCAGTGAAAATAGAGGCGGTGCAGGAATAAGACACAAGCTGCAGGGAGCTGTCAAGTGTTTGCCCAGCTGTTGAGTGCTCTCAGGCTGGTGCTCTGGTACATCTGGAGAAAGTTCATGTCTGAAGTTCTGTAACAAAGTTGTATAGAACGAAGCTTTCTCCAGATGTTGCTCTGCCTCTTAAGGAAGAGCATGCAAGACATCCAGTTCCCAAGCAGTGGGGTACCTGCAGTTTTGTCTTGTGTGACTTTCTGTGGCAGAGGGAGCCCTTTCTCCTTTTCAGTTTTAATAGAAGAGGCAGGTGAGCGCAAGAAGTTGGGAATTCTGGAGGGGGGGTTGTGGGGGGTTCAGGGGTTAGTGGAGCAAAACTGCAGTGTAAACTAAAGGAGTTGTTGGAAAATTTGCAGCGTAAGGGACTGAAGCATGGATTGGCCACTTGGGACAGGTGTACGCAGCAAGTTAATGTGGGGGCAGCTACCGCTGTGCTCCCCTTGGCAGTCTGACAGCACTCTCTCATCTTCCAGGACTCTCTCCTGACCTCCAGTCCATGGAGCAGATTCGGCGAATCATGAGGCCTACAGATGTCCCTGACCAGGGTCTGCTGTGTGACTTGCTGTGGTCTGATCCGGATAAAGATGTGCAAGGCTGGGGCGAGAATGACCGTGGAGTCTCGTTCACCTTTGGCTCAGAAGTTGTTGCCAAATTCCTGCACAAGCACGATTTGGATTTGATCTGTCGAGCACACCAGGTTGGAGCACTGCGGGTTGGGAGGCCTGGGCTGCTGCGGCCCTGGATGGGGGCTGGGGAAATCCCAAGGCCAAAGTGTCCAGAGACAGACTTAAGTGGCCCCGGTTCCTTTTATTCAAGGCCCTCCGCCTCTGTGGAAATGGGGGCAACTTAGGGTGGGAGGGGAAGGGCAGCCTCTGGCAGAGAGAGAGATGGTACGGGGCCTGAATAGAGTGTGGTACAAGATGTGCCATCTGTCTGGCTTGGGAACACATGGGTGCTGGTGGGCTAATTGCTTTCTACATCTCCTCCTACCCCAGGTGGTAGAAGATGGATACGAGTTTTTTGCCAAACGGCAGCTAGTGACACTCTTCTCTGCTCCAAACTACTGTGGGGAGTTTGATAATGCAGGCGCAATGATGAGTGTCGACGAGACTCTGATGTGCTCCTTCCAGGTAAGAACTGTGTTAATTGCCCTTTATTCTCAGTTAGGGTTACAGCATCTTGTGTGTGGTTGTATAGTAGTAAAAACAGAAGCCAGGGCTGCTTTTTGTTCCAAGTGGTAGTTGAGATCTCTGATCCAGTAAGATGTATTGTGTGGAATCCTAGAATATGATCACACCTTTTTTTATAAATGCCTGTTCTGGTTTTTAAACTGCCTCTTTGAAATGTTAAGAATTAAAACTTGAGGGTTTAAAAAAAATAATTATGGTACAAGCCGAGACAACCTTCTGAGCCAATTGGTTTTGATGTATTTACGACAGTGTAATTCTGCTTCAGATTACAGCATTAGATATGCTGAATCTCTGTAACAACTATGTTACAGATAGTTACAGTAAATAAATAAACAACTATGTAACAACAGCTCTGATATTGATAACAGTATTAAACTTGGAAACCTGAGTAACCAGGCTTTTGAGGTTCTGTGTTAACTACTTTTGATTGTGAAAATGATTTGCAATGGAAAACGCTATGCATCTCCAGTCTGAGCTGATTTCTATCCAAACAAGAATCCATGAATAAAATAGTGATTTGTAACAAACCTACAAGAGGCATGTTTGGAGGGAGGAAGGGGATCAGACCTCAAGTCTAGCATGATTTTCCCAGTGTACTTAAAAGTCATCATCTTTATTTCCTGCCATCAGTGATGTATGTGGTGCTTCAAAACTGCAGAAAGCAAAACAAAATGTAGACAGATCCTTTCCCCTGAGGAGTTGATAACTTAAAAATTAACATTGGAAAAGAATGTAGGAGGTTATAACTCAGAATGGGGATTGAGGAGTTAAGCTGAAGGCATTGTGGAGGAAATCATAAGCCTTAGTGTGTGATACTGGAATGGAATTGCATTTTAAAGAATACTGGTAACAGGACATTCCTGTCTGCCTTTCTTTGCTGTAAATCTGTCAGGGGTGGGGGCAGGCACTTCGCAGGTCAGGTGCAAAACCAGAACTTTCCCCATTTGCTTTCCAGCATCTAATTCTTTTTCCTCTTCTTTGCCCTACAGATCTTGAAACCAGCTGATAAGAACAAGGGTAAATATGGCCAGTTCAGTGGTCTGAACCCTGGTGGGCGCCCAGTCACTCCGCCACGCAACTCGGCCAAAGCCAAGAAGTAACTAGTCCTGCCTGACCCCTCCCCTCAGCTGTAGGTGTGGGGCCCAGGCTGTCTTGCGTAGCGCTTACACTGTACAGCGGCTGCCTCCCTCCCTCCCTAGGGCCCAGCCATGTAATTTTTTAAAAAAACTTCTGAATACGAATTCAATACCAAAAATTCTGCTCCTCTAGGATGGGGGATGTCTTTATTTTTGGGGGTATTTTTGATTGACTTTTTTTGGCCAACTTTGTCCTGATGTGTGTGCCCTCCCTGCCCCCGTGGGGGCACGACATCTTTTTTGAATAAACATGTAAGGTTCTTATATGGCTGCCTCCTGTGTTGACTGTTTAGGGAAATAAAGTGAGAAGGGCTTAGGTGGTACGTCAGAAGAATGCTTTTCATCTTGATAGGGGAATTTGATTTTTTAAGCTTAGGGTGGTATAGCATCAACCTGGGAGGAAGATGGGCTTTAATTTTTTTAAAATTGCAGTGTTTCAGAAGGTAGATGAGACAACAGGATGCTTTTGTAATCATTCACCATCTGGATTTTCCTGTGCAGAAAGGGAACTGTTGGAGGTGAACAGTTACAGTATCCAACCATGCATGGGTATGTGAGAGATGTCTTAAGAAACAGGAGTAAAGTTGGTAGTTTGGACCTGAAAACCATCCCTGAGAGTTGCCATGATTGAATTTAATTGCTTTTGAGCTGCCTGCTTCTCAGAAGGGGAAGTGAGCCACCCTAATACGTCGTTTTGGATCACCTCTACCTCTCCACACAATACTAGATGTCTACAGCTGGATCAGGGCCTAGCTGCTGCCCTGCCGATCTGGCTACTTAAAAGCCTTTTACTGTGATCTGTATGGAGGTCAAGCTACACTGCAGACTCCCTAGACACAGCTAAAGGGCCTTCTAGAAAGTGTGGCCCCCTAAGGTTGGTTTTCATTAGTCCAGGCAGTCCAGCTCTGAACCAATTTCCTGCATATATTCTTCACTTTAGGGGCTTCCTAGGGCAGCTGGGGTAAAAACTACATTTGTTTTAGCCCTGGCAGATCTCTCTCATATGCTGTAAGCTCTTTAATGCGCCCCTTGCCCTTGCTTGTTAAATATGAATCAGTCTTTTGTTGCATGCTTCGGCTCTTTAAAGCCCAAGCCACAATAAGCCACAACACTATTATGAGCTCTCCTGTTGGACCCAGGCAACCTTGGCAGGCTTAACCAGAAAGAGGGGCAAAGCACTGGCAGCTACACCCAGAACCAATGCAAGGAGATTCAGGTTGTTTGAGGACAGACGGTGGTACTGTGTGCAATAAGGTCAGTGGCACTGTAGGGCAGAAATACAGAGTCTATGTTTTTGTAAACAACTGCTTGTATATTTAGATTCCACCTACAAGATGAGTAGATTATACTTTTGCACATTAGACTGCTTTGTGCAGTTGTGGCTATGTTCAAGGGGCTTTATATTGTAAAAATAAAGCTGCAAAAGAACTTTCTCATAATACCTTAACCTAGTGCACGACCTATAGCAAATAAAAATAAATCGCTCTGGGAGGCAGACCAGCACATGAGCACCAGGACACACAAAAACCCTGGCTGTGTTCCAGTTCAGTCCTTTACCACCTCCCATAGTAACTTTTAAGGACAATATTGTGGCTCTAACCCCCCTTTAGCATTTTATCCCCTTTCAACTTCCATGTGCTTTATGGCTAATGATAGGTTCAGCTACTTAACAGATTAATTGCAGAGGAGGATGGGCCTGCCTTTTTGAGTTGTAGAAGGCATTAGAGTAGGGTGCAATTAATGATTTGCCTCTCATGTCTACAGTTCACATAAGTCAAAACATCTAGAAATACAGTTATTGGGAAACAGACCTAGTGTGCCTCTCTGCATTAGTCAAATATCCATTGCAAGATGGCATCTTGATTTGCACATTCCAACAGCGTTGCAAAAAAACTGAGCTGATCATTGGGTGTGTGAGGCCTGCAGCAGGCAAAGCGCTTCTTCCCCCGCAGGAACACGGCCACGTAAAAAACGTGTGCTTGTGAGAAGGAAAAGGTCTCTCTGGCCAGGGTTCCTCTTGACCCTTCTTTGCAGAGGAGTGGGCTGGGCTCCCCCGCCCACCAGATGGTAACTCTTCTTCCCAGCTCTCATGTTGAAGCATCTGTTGCGTCCCAATAGACTGGAGCCTTCTCAGGATTCTCCCTCACTGTCTTCTGCTAGCACCTCTTGACCAGAGCCTGGGTAGAGCAGGGTCTGCGACTGGTTTAGGACTGAGCCAAAGAACAAAGAACGGAACTGTAAAGGCAAAAGGAAAAAAAGGTTTGGAGTAGACGATCTAGAAAACTGCAGGGCCACAACTGCCATACAAGTAGCAATGTCTATGTCAGGAGAGAGAGCCAGGAAACTTGGCATTTGTATTAAGGCAACAAAAAAGTTTTGTACAGAAATGCTTGAAAGCATGCAGGTAGTTTATTCAGCAAAGAGGGGAAGGTGGAGAACTCTGGAAGTCTCCCTGTTCTTCCCAACTGCTTAGAACTATAGCAGCATCCCAAATGCATAGTTTCTGCCACACCCATAAGAAAAACAAATGGGTATATATTCGTAAATGAAGTGCAAAATCGGATTGTCATTGGAATTCTAGGGTGCAGATCGTGGCTCTTGGTTCCAGTTAAAGTTAGTCCTGGTTAAGCCCAAATCAACAAGCAAACTGGACTGACATTATATGTTGCTTTCAATTAAGGAACTGTTCATTTCCCCCCATTTGCAGCTGGTTTTCAATGTTATTTTTTTCTTATTACCATGTGCTTCTCTTTATTATATTTTGCCTTTGCTTCACTGAAAAGCCTTTCCAGCCCCCCCCCCCCATCCAATTGAGATGGAATTCTCAGGGACTATAACCTTTTCCCAAGAGAGTTTTTCTCTGCCAAAAAAAAATATCACATGGACAATTAAGTTTTCAGCTGCAGAGCACAGCCAGGGAGATCTCTGGCAGTCCGCACAAGGAGACGGGGGGCACAGAATAAGAAGGAAGGGGACCCGCCTCCATTTCCACATGCCCATCCATTTACGTGTTTAAAAAACCTGGAGTATGTGGTGTGGAGAGTCTATTAAACAAAAACTGGATTTAAATGAAGAGGGAGCTCCTCCAGGGATACTAAAGTTATGTTGGGAGGAAAACTGCTTCAAGTACTGAGTATGGCAAAGCAAGCTGCAGAATGGGGGCTGACTCTTCATCCCTTCACCTCCCTGCTCCAATGTTATTTAGACACAGACCCCTACAAATCTGAGGAAGTCCTGCACCCCCAGTCAGGCTTCGTTCTTCGTTTAACTAAAAAAGGGAAATAATTGTTTCTGGGGTGTTTACACCCACTATAGCTTTTAAGGACAACTAAATTATTATTTGATTCAGTTTATATCCCGCTCTCCCCAAAACCAGCTTATACATTCTAAAAACTTTCCAACATAACAAAAAAGAATCACATTCAATAAATACAATAAAATCACTAAAACAGCCACTGTGCAGTTTTAAGATGGAGTAAAAACTCCTATGGAGGGCGATGTACAAGCATTTGGTAGAAGGGGGAAAGGTGGGGAGGGGAAGAGAGAGGAATGCCAAAATCAGATAAGCCTATTGGGTGCCTTCAACCATAGGCTTGGCGGAACAACTGTTTCACAGGCCCTACGGAACTGTTCCAAATCCCACAGGGCCCTTGATCTCTCCTTTAAGTGTTCCACCAAGCTGGGGCCCGGATGAAATGGAGGCCATGAAGAAATCCTTCTTCACTGCTATCTCATAGGCTTTCAGTAACGTCCTATAAGATGTTCTTGCAGCTTCATCACGACTCCACTCAGACCAAACTCAGTCTAGCTGTCTAAGCTCCCGTTTTTGGCACGGGAGCAAAGAGGGTATCAAGGTACAATTTCATTGATGGCTTCAGGAAGAAGGCCAGCTCATCTAAGGAACCACCAGGGGGATTTGGATCCCACAGAGCATTCTGGAACCCTACTGGGTCCATAAGTCTCTGCTGGCAAGCTCGTTGCTTAAAAACTTCAACAGATGTCAGAATGTTATTACTGATCACTTGCATCTTGTCTGGTTTGGCATTAGATCAGTTTGTCTTTCTTGTGTTACTATCCCATTGTAGGGTGTGCAGATCAGGAAAATCAAGCTGATTATGCCAGACATTCATTGTATTGTCCTCTATTCTTTCCCTCCCCACCACACCAGCAGTGCTGCTTGCCTATATACCAATGTGTGCTAGCAAAACAGTGATTAGCAGGTGCAACATCAGAGAAAACAGAAGAGCCACTGTGCTGATAAAGAATCAAATCCCACCTCAGTCCCCCAGGGTAGCTGGTGTATACACACTACTTCAGAAAGACAGGAGGCTTGGAGCAGTCTTTTCTGATGGCAAAGTGTGTGTGTAGCTCTGCTGACTGGTAAACATGTCAGTTGCATGTCTGCTTAGTCTTCCTACTCCTTCCTCTGATCCTTAAGCCGGACAGCCAGGTGCCGGAACATAATATTCACAACCCAAGATGTTTCCAAATAGTACTATTTTTCCAGTTTTCAAATGTATGTCTTCCTACTGACAGTCATTTAGCCACCAGTGTGATAAGAAGCCTCCTGCTTAAGAGAACTAAATTAACCGAATTAACTAAATTATATTAACAGAGCATCTTTGTTTATATCCAAATGCATTTCTATTCATTTAATGGTCCTTCGAATTAACTAGATCAGGGATGAGAGCAACTGCGTACACTGTAGTTCTAGGAAGTGCACATTAAAGTTCAGTGTACACTCCCTTGGGAGTTATGTGTGAAGGAATATATACATTTATTTCATCAAACAAAAATGGCCTCATGATCACACACCTCCTACAACAAAGTTTCCGTCGAACACACGTTGGAACAAATACACATTTCTGTTTCTCACATCGTGGGGCACTAGAGGGCACACGCTAAAATCATGTGAGTTCTCCCAGTAAAGCTGAAATGGGGCAGGGGATTCTCCTTAACGCCACGTCTCGTGGTCTCCATTGTGCATTCATGCACTGGGAGCAGAATCTTACTGCAGCAAGTCCTTCATTGTGTGTACACACCTTTTTCTGTGGTGGTGTGCCTGGTACGGTCCCTTCGTGGTCACTATCCAAGTCCTTTGTGTCAGAATTGTTTTTTCGTGTGGGCAAGAGGGAACTGGGAGCTGGACACACCCCATTCACACCAGCACACATGGTCTCCATGGCAATCATGTAGGCGTCAATGTCATCATTGGTGGAGTCAAAAGCAGAAGCGACAGCCTTGGGTGTACTAGAGGGAAAGAAATGGAAACGGACAGTCAGGAAGGACCAGAGTCCACTTCCTAGGAAGAGGTGGCTCATTAAGTTCGATTTGATTGAACTCTCGATTTGATCTTCGCGGCTGGAGTTATGGTGGACCGGATTGCTACAATAGCGGTATCATGGTCGGACCACCAGGCCCTGAAGGCTCGTCTGAATATGCCACCCCGACCCCGCTTAGGCGGCGAGCTGAGCGCGTATGCGTGTGCCACACGCACGTCACCTGGAAGTGACGGGAGGACGCCAGGCATGCTGGGGGTGGGGCCACGGCCATACAAGGGAAAACCATAGCATTTTCCCTTGTATGGCCATGGCCCCGCCCCCAGCGTGCTCAGCGTGCCCGCGTCACTTCCAGGTGACGTGCACGTTGGGGTGGAGTTCCTCCTGGGGCCTGATCCGGCACAGTCGGGGAACAGGCCTCTGGGGCGGGGGTTTCCCCGCCCCCCGGGAGGACTTGGGATCCCTATGCCCTTGAGATCTAGTCTCTCTCTCTCTTTCCCAAAGTTAGAACAAAACACAAAGGAGGGTAGGCTCGCCAGCTCTGAGTTGGGAAATACCTGGAGATTTTTGGAGTGGAGCCTGAGCGGTGGGTGTTGCCTTCTGACATACTTCCGGTGATGTCAGGGGGTGTGGTATATGCAAATAAGTTATGCTAATGAGTTATGCTAATGAGCTCCTGCACCTCTTTTTCTACTAAATGACCCCTGATTAGTATTATACTCAATATTACTATAAGAGGCAGTTTCGTGCAGTGGTTGAGTGCACAGACTAATCTGGGAGAACTGGGTTTGATTCCCCACTCCTCCGCATGCAGCTGCTGGATGACCTTGGGCAAGCCATAGTTCTGTCAGAGCTGTTCTCTCAAGGACAGTTCTTGAAAGAGCTCTCAGCCCTGCCTACCTCACAGGGTGTCTGTTGTGGGTAGGGGAAAGGAAAGGAGTTTGTAAGCCGCTCTGAGACTCTGAGTGAAGGGTGGGATATAAATCCAATTTCAATTTCTTCTTTTATCTGTCACCCATTATGAAGAGACAACGTGCCCTGAACTGCTAGGGTTGCCAAGTTGGATCGACCCGGCGGGGGAGGGACTTTCCAGGAGTGGGGGGGGGGAGAACACAACATATGAACAATGTAATGATATCACACAGAAGTGATGCCATCATGTCAATGATATCATCACAACAGTGGCATCACACAGTGACATCTGGTATTTTGGACAAACCATAGAGTTTTGCCCAAAATACCAGAGGGTTGCCATGTGCATTGCCAACATGATGATATCACTTCTGTGTGACTTCATTATATCACATTTGGGGGTGGGATTTCCACCCACCGGCCAGTGGCAGAGAAGAAGCCCCAAAATTGGGGAAACCCCTGTCGCCAACTGGGGAATGGCATCCCTATGTACTGCACTTAGGGCTAACATAAAATAGCAATTAGTATTTGAGAGATTATGATATTATATCTTTGAAATCTACAAAAACCAAAACAATCAATACAAAAATCAAAATACAAACAAGTGGAAAGCATAAGAATTAAAATCAAATTCAAATAAATCAGGTTTATGCATTCTTCCTGTTGCCAAATACTGCTTGAAGATTTTAAAACGTCACATTGTGAATTCAGAACTTCTCATTCAAATTTGAATAGTGAAATTAGAAAATTTAACATTTGAAATGTATTGGGAGTCACTGTTCATTTCTTCAGATACATATATTTGAAATATATGTTTCAACTTCAATTTAACACCTATGTGTATATGGGAGGCTGCCTGCTATTGAGGTAAATCTACAGCCCATTTAGTCTCCTACTGTTTACTATGGCTGGTAAACTGCTTTATCTGTAGGTACCAGGAATCTGGGACCTTATAACTGTAAAATACGTACTCTATAGCTGACAGGTGACCCTCCCCTGCTCAAGTTTGCAGATAGCATAATTCATGTATTTAACCCATTAGAAAATTAATCCATAATGTTTGCTCGAAATATCCACACATTATTACCATTCAAAGCAACACAATTATTATTATTCCTCCAAAATTAACATGAACACTGTAAGAGATAGATCCTTAATCACCCAACTAACATTTCTGGCCATTCTTTCTTATATAACCAAGGACTGCTTTGCTTGCCTTGTAAGGCATAACAAAACAAAATTTACTTCAGATAATAAATAAATGATCATAATACTTCATATTTCATGAAATAAATACTGTCAAAAGTTCAATTTCTGAATGGACACTGAATAATTGCCCAATTTTTCCAACAGATTTAAAACCAGTAGTAGAAGAGAAAGCTCTAGCAGTTCTAGCTTGGTGCTCTAGGATGATTAATCCGTTTTTTCTTTTTATATTTTTCCTCATCTATCAGTTTTAAAATGGGATCTTAATAGAAACTAACAACAAAATATAAGTCCCCAGTCATGATAGTATATACTTTGTCCTAAAGGTAGATTTGAAAGTAATGTTATGTTATCTAATATAGTCTTATGCATTTTCTAAAGAACAGAAAATTACAGATTTAAAAACTTCAAAAAGTCTGACAACAGGAACCATGCCTAAATGTAATATTTAAATTCTTAAATTTAATTTAATTACTAATTTGATTTAATTAATAATATTTAAAGCTGTACATCTTTCTCTACATATAATATTGAATTATGAACATGGTCTCAGTATGAACAATAAAAAAAAAATCGGGCCATTTGCACCTTGAGGAAATTCTGAGGTTTGCAAAAAAATCTGAAAGCTTAAAAAGAGGCAAGAGGGATTTTTAAAAACCCTGACTGAAGACAAATGAGATCTTGCAGTGCTACGTCACAAGATTTCAGCTGCCATCTTGGGGATTGCAACCCCCAAGATGCACCACTAGGGCAGAATCTGGCATCAGTGAATGCCAGGAGGGGGAAAAGAAAGTAGCAGCAAAGCCAGCCACTGCCAGCAGTGAAAGAAGGCAGGGAGGCAGCAAAGAAGATGGTCAGAGCTGAGAGGGGAAGGAGGCAGTGGCAGTGCCCACTCATTAACTGGACACTGGTGGCAGGGCAAAGAAAGCTTAGAGCAGAAAATCAACTCTCTCACACATATCAGTTCAATATATTTGGTATGAATAATCATATTTTAACCAGCAGATCATGAACTGGATTCTAATGAACTTCACTGAAAGAGCAACAGAAGATCAATTAGTTCTGTAATTCTTCAGTTCCTACGGAACAGAACATCATATGCTAGCACTTCATGACCTGACATTTGTAATATAACCAAGGCAATGGAATTAAAATGAGATGCAAGGCCTCACAACTCTTTAGTTAACTAGATAATAATAGATTCTAGATCTCTGGCTAGCTCTGTGCTTTCCCAAGGCTGTCTTCTACTATGATTTGGATCTTTAAGTAAGATGGCAAATTCCCCACCTCCGACTGTAGCCTTCCGTGCCCCCTCACAATGTGCTCCTGCAGGTCACTGTATCTCCAGGATCAATGGAGGGCAAAGTGGGGGTGTGTGTCTGTGCTGGAGACTCAGCAGAAATTACCCTCCCTCCCCTCTACTCAGAAATGCCGTCTTGTCAGCAGAACTGCTGTTATGCCCATGCAACAACTAATTTACAGTGCAATCCTTCCTGAGACTGTCCTGTTGAATAGATCAGAGTAGAATTCTGAGTATACCTGATTAGGGTGGCACTGTTAGGATCCAAACCAATGTCAGATAATTTGTTTTAATATCTTGTAGTAACCAAATCTTAATTTTATCTATTTACAAATGAATGCTTCTTCTGCTAAACTATACGTTACAACCCAATTTACATTAGAATTGCACATAAGACATTTTGATCACAGATTTAAATTTGCTCAAGATGCAAAGTCAAAGGGGATCATTAGTAATATTAATGAGGCTTCAATAGTACATAGATTAAAAACTACTGTTCCTTAGCCATTAAACCTGCTTCAGTGTCCTACAGACTCCCATGGCATATACACAGTTGACTCTGACATTGCTGTGAAAGAAAAGCTTGTTGTTCTGACCCAGAACCTAGACTTGCAAAAGTCTGCTTACAGGTGAGGAGCCTGGGATGTCATAGGGTCCAAAATTCAGGACACTCTCCTGGTTAGGTCACCTTGGGAAGCCACTGAACACTCTTTTGTTGATACCTCTGTCAATGAGGAGAAGGAATCAGCCTTGAAAATTACACTAACACCTGGGATGGCTTCTCTTTCAACGTTCTCAGGTGCTAGATGAAGCTATACATTCTTCCCACCCATAAATCCCACTTTCAATGCCACACCATACTTAGAAACAGTAACAGACACCACAACTTATTAGTTTCACCAGAGACCCAAAGTTATTCTGCTTTAGCTATGAACTGACTTTTCCAAAGGAGGTGGGGCTCATTATTCATTATTGTAATGAACTATGTTAAATCTCAGTTTAACAGTCATCATATCCTTGAATAGAAAGTCAGTCTCTACCAATTATTTAAGATGTTCTGAGCTTTCTTCCTGGCCCCATAACTCTTCATCACAGCCAGGAAAAGAGCTCCTAATCATATTGCCTCATTGGCTGTGTCAAAGTTTTGCCTCAAGCAGCTTTCTGCATGCACAGTTGCCCCTTGTTCTAAAGATCGTTACAGTCTGTGGCTACTTTTGCCTAGTTCAAGAACCATATTATTTTCTCTACTGAAGACTGAGGTGCTGTGAAAGAGCACTGTAATTGTGTGAGAAAGCAGCACAATCAGACAAATGGATTTATGCAGATTCATTTGGGCATATCCAAACTGCTCACTGACCAATTGGCTCTCTGCTCATGAATGGCAAGCAGGATGTTAGCTGCACTCACGGGTGCTTGAGCATTCTTAGTTTTGTTACCTTGCCTGTAATTCTCAAAATCGGATTCTTACACATTTGCAGTAGAAAGCAAGATTGAGCAAATAATTTCAATCTGTCCTTTCTGAGATTAACTGAAATTATGTTCAGCAGTTCCTCCATGGACCCTTGTTTAAATTTCC